CTCGTGGTCGAAAAATTCGTTGCCTTCTCAAACAACGTCTTTCGGCTCTTTCTAACTCTTCGATAGCGATAAGAATTGCGTATCCGTCAGCCATTTTTACTTTCGTGTAGCGATCTCACATGCTCGACTCAACGTGAGTAGCAACTCGCATGGTGAGATGGGAAAGCACGTGAGTTAGAACTCGAGACTACCAATTTGACGTCAGTGTGTGAGATGGTACCACGTGACACCTTCAACACGTTGGGAGTTGTAACACGAAAAACTCGAGACTAAGGGCCCTGGGTGGGGCATCCCTAATTCAAATTCAAATGGGATTCGTGGAGCTATAACATGCCACTGTCATTAACTTATTTCAATTTTTTTTACTCTGCTTTTATGATTCGAGTTATGAAAAGTAATAAGATTTACATATTAATATTTTTGGACTGCAATTTGTAGAGTTATAAATTCGATCTGTATTTCCTTAATGTCCAGAATGGAATCCGATACGCAAACCTTAGTAGGAGAAGGCCCCAATTAACTATATAAGAACTTCCAATGCAAACCGGAAAATGCGTTATTGCAATTAAAATCTTCCTCTGGAAGGTGTTAGAGATAGACTGGCAAAACTGTATTGTTAAAGGAAAAGTGTGATGTACCAGGGGCAAGTCACTACTAATTTGAGGTGGAGAGGATATATTTTAAATTAAAAATATGATTAGAAATTGCAGTCCAACATTCTGACAATGTCACAATAAATAATTGCTTGTTTTTAAAGAAAACCATTTGGTAAATAATATATTATGATAGACTCACATTAGCATCGCTATCTGTGAAATCCTCTTTTAGTATTGACGTTAACCAATGGTCAATTTTGTCCTCAGAGAAAGTTATACACCATATCAATTGTTAAATTTCATATACTTCATTTTAATATTGCAGTTTCTTTTTTTCTAATAATTTTCATGAATTTTATCCATCATAATCCTGGAAATAATGTTATGTTAATAAATAATTTTGCTGGTAGAGTTTTAAATACTGTATTATACTTTGTTCAAACAGTAATAATAATTCTGACAGTTAATGGAAGGGACATCACCATTAACTAATATTATTTAGTATAATCTATATACNGTTTTAAATATTATATTTTGTTCAAACAGTAATAATAATTCTGACAGTTAATGGAAGGGACATCACCATTAACTAATATTATTTAGTATAATCTATATACTTTCAACTAGAAAAAGGTTAATAGTAGTCATTAACGTTGTTTTCCTACACCATTGTTAGAGAAACTGTGACATTTTGTGGTTTTCTAATGCTACCAGACAAAATATAGTGTGATAAAATTCATGATGTGTGCTACAGCAGTCTTGTCAACAGCTTGTTTATCTTTCTCTAGACATAGTTATGGATGTTGCAAAAAATAATCAATATTCAGCCTGTATAGTATGGATTATTCCAAAATCAGCTGTAGAACAGCAGTGTAGAAAGCACCTAACTTGCACATTATTCAGATAGGACTCCAATCAAGCAGTTGTCATCTGACAGCTGACTCTTTACTTTTGTTTCATCTTTTAATCTATTTTCCTGTTCAACAATTTTTTAAAAATGTTCTGCATCATTCAATCTTGGCAGTTTGCAGTGTGTAGAGCACACATTGTTCACATAATACAACGTGTTCTTGATGTTTTCACAATGATTAAGGTCTCATATTCTCCATATCTATGTCATGTACAGTGGATATCAGTACTTGATCCTTCTTAGGATAAAAGAATGCAGCATAGTGTAATGTGAGATCATTTCTTACCTGAGGTACTGCAATAAAACATGGCAGTTAATCGCTATTTAGCATTTTTGCTTCCTCTGCAGCAATTGGAAAAAACTATATGTTTCATCAGGATTGAAAATATCATCTGTGCTGTACTTAAATATTGTATCTTGTCTGTAGTCCATGCACATGCTATGTGCAATGAAACATCAATGTTTCTCTGAATAAAAATTTTGAGATGATTCCATTCTTTTCAAAAATTCTCTGTAATAACAAGGAACTGCCTATGGGACAGTGGCACACCTGAACATCTTGAAACCAGATGAAAATAACTTTCCGCACATCCTCAAATTGTGTGCTATTCCTGCTGGATTCAACATTGGATCTTCTTAACTTTTTTTCAATGTTGGATGATCTTTTAAAATCATTAACAGAATGGAAAGGGTGATGCCAAATTCCCTTGCAACATCTAATTTTTACTCAGAATCAACTTCTTTTAGAAAGAAGCTTTTTGAACAATGAAAATTGGTTGCAGTTTTTCCCTTTGGCACATTTCATTATGAAGTCTGACAAGATTACTTTCAGTGACTGACGGATCATAACAACAGCATAGTAAAGTATATTACCCATTCGATACTAAAGTAGTGTAAGAATTCGTTGAATATATTTACATTCTCCTTCTTGTAACTTCCTAGTATCATCTCCTTACACATCTTATTTGGTGGCGGCATTCCTGGCCTATGGTCTGAAAGATCCTGTCAATGGTGTCATCCACTCATTTATGGATTTTCACTGGGTACTTCCGGAATATTCTAACATGGGTAACAAATAATCCAGTCCACCCACCACACCAGCCTTAATCTAAGGCATCTTCTAGACATTTCCCTTTTGTCCAGTCATCTATGCAACTTCATAATCATTTTTGTCCAACCCATCGCAGTGTTTTAAATGTTGGGAATGTTCTGCATAGTAAAAAAGCTTTAATATTCTGAAATTTATATTGACAGTTCTTAAGCTAAGTCTTACAGGTGGCCAAATTGGACTTCAAATTGTTTGCTATAATGAGAGGTTATCTGTATGTTTAATTAACAGTAAAAACTAAGCACTATCTCTCAAATACACTTTTTAATGTTCTTAAAAACTATATTGTTTGATTTTAAAAGAAGTACTGTACAATAAATTTAAATACTTTGTTGTCATAGCAATCACAAACATATTAAATTACAAATATTATTAATTACAAGTATTAATTCTTTACATATATAGTAAAATATAGAATGAAAATTTAAACAGAATGAATCTTTATTTATTTAAAATATAAATTTTACAATAATTCATAATTTATAATCTGCTTTTACAGTTATCTCTATTACATTAAATATGATAAAGAAAATTTGAACCTAATTTTATTGTGCTTAATTAACATAGGGCTAATTAATCCAAAATGAACATCAAGACAAATCAAACTCTGAATGCCAATTTTTACAAAATTTAAAATTAAAATGGTCCCGGGAATATAAAAGTAAAGTAAAGTAGTTCACTGACCATTTATAGAAGAAAATGTTGCATGCTCTTTGTCATAATGGAAATGTTTGTTAAAAGATTGCAGTGACAAAGTTCAATATCAACATTTTCTAAAGGAAGGTGTGTGGAGCAGATAACCTGAACAATTAAAAAAGAACATTATTTAAAATTGATTCTGAAATATAAATAAATGTAATCACTTCCAGCCACTTACCATTGAGTTGATTATCCACAAAGTAATTTTCATACATACATGTCACATAGCTGCTCTATTGGTATGTCAGAAGCCTAAATGATGTCACACAACTCCTGGTTTTAAGTGCTCACAATCAGTTAAATCTATTAAACATGTAAAAAATAAAATGTCAGAATCATCAATGTATTCAAGAGTTACATAGAAGAGTTGAAAAAAACAGCTATTTTTAATATAAAAATAAGCAAACAAACATTAAAATTCTAGTTAAGCTTGATTTTCATGTGTATTAATAAAAATTAAATCATATGCTAAGAGAAATGAAACAACTTCTTTAAAACTGTAGGATTTTCTAAAATTTAACATTGAGTTTAGCAAAAATAAGTGTGTTAATTACAGCTTAGATAGAACTTCTGGTTATATAAATAGCATTCTAGGTATTAATGCAAATAAATTAAGTGTAGTAGTGTGATTTGATTTGGGTAAATCTATAAATTTGAGTATTGGGTGTTGTTAAGTTATATACTTTATGAATGAGCAATGATGTTAAATTGCCCCAATTCTCAAAAATTACCCAAATTCAATAAAACAATTCTTAATAAGGAAATATTACAAAAGTCAAGTGAAATCTTGTTTTATTTGTATATATAAAACAATTAGTTCTTAAATTGGGGAAGAAATTGTTCTTCATCACAATAATACAAGATAAAATTCAAATATACTTACTATACAATCACACAAAAAATTATAAATAATACATCATATATATTGTTATTACATATTATATTATATATAATATAATAATAATATCAGAATTCTCAATAAAATATATTAAAATTAATATTATAGAAGGAATGAAAAGATATATAAAATCAGTATAATAAGGAAACATTATTATTGGTAAATTTCCAAAAATTAATAATAAATTTTAGTATGAAATTGATAAAGGAAAGTTGTTTTGATTTGGAATTAATCAATACCAATATTAAAGAGTCTACTTGTATATGTAAAACTGTATAAGTGTATGTACTATTTGATAATTGATATAACAAGCTAAGAATACATAAGAAATAAAAATGAAAATAAAAATGCCTTACCTTTGTTTTTGCTTCTTGTTAATTTTTTGAGCACAAGAAGTTTGTAAAATGATTCCATGTCTCTTTGGAAAGTGGATTATAAAACTTGATAATGATACTTCTTCCTAGAATAATTTAAGAATTTAATTATTAAGAATAGATAATCTGATAATTTAATTCGATGCTAAGTAGAAACAACCTTAAATATTTTAAATGGAAATTTACGACTTTTACATTTAATATTCTATCGACAATTATTCAATTTTGAAAGCTTATAAATAAAAAAAAAAGTTACATTGCCTGCGTTATTCGGGTTTATGTAATTAAACTTTTACGAAAAATCTCGAAATGGAGGGAAAAATAACTGGCAATTTCCAGAAAACTTTCTAATTCAAGATGGCGTCGGTAATACGAAATCGAACGAATTCGAATCGGTGGAACGTGCGATAAATGCGTCACACGTTACGTCATAGAATATTAACTAATTGCAAATGTTTTCTTTAAAATGTAAAATAGTCCTCTTTTATTTGTAAAATATATTTGTAATAATAAATAACATTATAAATACGCATTCCGTAACCTTACAGGTTACAGGTTGCAAATCTAAATTTAAAGCGTATCTAATTTAATTTACTTAATTTTGATATAAATCAAAAAATATTAAGTTACCTACGTTACGAGAGTTTTCATTATTAAAATTTCTACGAAAAATGTTAAAATGGAGGGAAAAAGAACTCGCAATTTCCGGAAAGCATAAAATTCCAAGATGGCGTCGGCAACAATACGAAATGGAACGAATTCGAATTTGTCGTTACAATGCGTCACGCGTTACGTCACGAATTTTACGTCATAGATGTAATATATCGAGTATTTTAATTGCATTTTTTTAAAGGATAGTTTATTTTTAACAAATTCTTTTCTCTCGGATTTGGCAGAATATTTGTTAAATGTAAAACTTTTCTAAAAAGAAAATTTACTCGGATTACATTACGAGTGGTTGGGGTTTGATTGGAAACAATTGCTTCCACCATTGTAAGATACGGAATTTACAAATTCCCATGAGGTACGGTTCCTTTAACTTTTTTGTTCCTATCAATATGTTCTACAGCTCTGTTAATTAAAAATAATTTTAATGCTAAAAAAACAATTATACTCAGAACTTATATTTTCTTACTCTGTCTAGCAGTATGAATTTTCGAATAAATAAAAACAGAAGGGGGCACACGCAGTCGAACCATGGACCTCTCGATCTGCAGTCAAATGCTCTACCACTGAGCTATACCCCCACGGCAGTCAATACTTCATTTCACAGAGTTAACTGGACTCCACATTACCGGAATCCGCGACGTAATCGTAAAACTGAAGGCCAAACTGATGAAACTTCCGGTTTTGGAACGTTCTGTTGGACGGAAACAAGACTGAAAGCAGAGTTAAAAATTATTTAACTTTTCCGTTTCGTCCCGCGCTTCTGTCGTACCGCAACCAATAAATACGCAAGGATTTGTGACGCGTAGTCACGTGCATTAGTCACGTGTAGTTTGATTGTCGTAATGGCAGAAAGTGTAGCGAAAACGATGAGGAAACAAATAGATTTAGAATTTCTCATCGAAGCAGTTATAAAATACACATGTCTGTACGACAAAAAATGTAAATAATTCAAAGATTATTAACAATTTCATTGTTAATAAATGCAGAGAAAGCATGGCAAAATCCGTAGTGTCGTCCATGTTTGACTCTACTACAATTACAGAACTGATCAACAGATGGCGCATTTCTAGTGGAGTCAAGTTAAAACGNAGCACGCAACTCTATGCAGGATATTTCGATGTTGTTTGACTTATGTGGATCGGTGTTTAACTTTACAATACTTGGACTAGTGAATTTGTTTTAATCGTTTCGTTATACGTCATATGTAATTGTTTTGTATTGTTGAATTTTTCTTTTATTTGTGGCCCTTATGGCAAAGTGGTATTTTTGATATGCAGCAACTGACTTAGTTGCTGCCTACCAAAAACGTGTAATGTTTTCGTGATAAAATATAAAAATAATAGTAGCCCGGGACGCCCCCTAGTGGGCGTTCTTTACAAATTCCCACGAGGTACGGTTCCTTTAACTTTATTGTTCCTATCAATATGTTCTACAGCTCTGTTAATTAAAAATAATTTTAATGTTAAAGAAACAATTATACTCAGAACTTATATTTTCTTAGTCTGTTTAGCAGTATGAATTTTCGAATAAATAAATAAATAAAAACAGAAGGGGGCACACGGAGTCGAACCATGGACCTCTCGATCTGCAGTCGAATGCTCTACCACTGAGCTATACCCCCACGACAATCAATACTCCATTTCACAGAGTGAAGTGAATTTAAGCCTGGACTCCGCATTACCGGAATCCGCGACGTAATCGTAAAACTGAAAGCCAAACTGACGAAACTTTCAGTTTTGTAACATTCAGTTGGACAGAAACAAGACTGAAAGCAGAGTTAAAAATTATTTAAGTTTTCCGTTTCGTCCCGCGCTTCTGTCGTAGCGCAACCAATAAATACGCAAGGATTTGTGACGCGTAGTCACGTGCATTAGTCACGTGTAGTTTGATTGTCGTAATGGCGGAAAGTGTAGCGAAAACGATGAGGAAACAAATAGATTTGGAATTCTTCATTGAAGAAGTTATAAAATACACATGTCTGTACGACAAAAAATGTAAATAATTCAAAGATTATTAACAATGAAATTGTTAATAAATGCAGAGAAAGCGTCGTCCATGTTTGACTCTACGACAATTACAGAACTGATCAACAGATGGCGCATTTCTAGTGGAGTCAAGTTAAAACGAAAACTCTATCCCCCGTATTCACCAACGCGAGTTAAACAGAGAGTTGACGAACTCGAGGTTAGATATAACTCGAAGTCAGATTACGAGTTACTCTTCTTTCGTATTCAGATAAAAATTTAACTCTAGAGTTTCGCTACCCTAGAGTTAAAATTTTAAAACAATCCTGCGTTCGAGATTAAACAAGTCTTCTTTCGTAACCAGAGTTCTTATTGGTTGAAAGCAAACACGTGTATGAACCAGAGAGGAGACGAATAGAATAGAATAGAAACACGTGTAGAAAATGGCGGAAAGTGAAATGGAAAGTTGTGCACGCCGTAATTTTTCTAATTTTGAGATGGAAATTCTACTTGAATTAGTCGAAAAATATAATTCGATCATTGAAAACAAGAAAACAAATGTGATTTCTTCCAAACAGAAGAGAGGAAGGGGGGACTAACAAAGGAATTCAATGATATCCCGGGAATGGGATATCATTGGATACATTGGGATACATGGGAAGAACTAACAAAGGAATTCAATGATATCCCGGGTGTCACCCTTAGAAAAACCAAACAGTTATTGGACTGTTATAAGAATTTTAAAAAGAAAGCCGTGAAAGAACAGGCACAAAAAAGCCGAATTATTTAAAACAGGAGGAGGAAACCAATTCGTTCTAATAGGTTTCTTACGCTCTCTTTTGGCTCGTAATCGTCCAATTGTTCGAGGTCATTTCTTCTTGGAGAAATAATCCGCCGACTTCTTCGTTCCATACGATCTATATAATCTAAATATTTCAGATTTTCCAGCATCTCGGCTTCGTCTTCGTCGAATGTCGCCATTTTTCTCTGAAATAGACCGCTTTGCGCAGGCGTCAAACCTAGAGTTATCGTCTGCTCGGCGATTTTTTAGAGTTAGAGTTAGGGTTATTGTGTTTGAATCGAGATTCGGAGTTGGTGAATACCAATTTACCAGTAACTCGAGAGTTAACCCTAACTCTAACTCTAACTCGTGTTGGTGAATACGGAGGTATATGTGTCAGTTCTGTTTCTGAGTTTCTGTTTTCAGGTAATGTGGAGTCCAGGTTTCAAGCGTATATGTAAAAGCAATTCAGAATATACTTTTAATTTCTTACTATGCACATACAGTAGAGCCTCGATTATCCGACTCAATTGGGGACTGGGGTTGGTCGGATAATTAAAAAGTCGGATAACCGAAAAGTATGAAAAAATCCATTATTAGTGTAGTATATTATTATATCCCATGTAATTAGTATATTAGTATATCGCTATTAACCTACTTCGCGTTGAATTTTCCTCCATGTTAAGCCTATCAAATTTTTTTTAAAAATAATAATCGTCGCTATTGTATCGTTAAAAATTAGAAAATTAAGCCTCGTTTAAATACTGGCTCCCTTTCACGGTCGATCCAGTGTTGCCAGCTAGAACACGTAAAAATAATATTAAAGTAGCCAAGACATAGCCAATTATTGTAGCGCCACGTCACTAGCGGACATTTGAAATTTGCCAACTAGAACGCTGTCGGTTAACCGAGGCGACGGTTAATCGGGGGTCGGATAATCGATGCTCTACTGTATTTTCTAAATATTCGTAAAATATTTCAAATATTTTCTTTTCTTATTGTTGTTAGCGATCACAACTGCATTGTCTTGTACTAAATTTTATCATATAAATATGTTACTAGTTTATATGAAATTAATTTCTAAAAGCATAAACCAAAATTTCTATTTATTGAAATTAAAAATAATTTTAATGTTAAAGAAACAATTGCACTCAGAACTTATATTTTCTTACTCTGTCTAGCAGTATGAATTTTCGAATAAATAAAAACATAAGGGGGCACACGGAGTCGAACCATGGACCTCTCGATCTGCAGTCGAATGCTCTACCACTGAGCTATACCCCCACGACAGTCAATACTCCATTTCACAGAGTTAAGTGAAGTTAAGCCTGGACTCCACATTACCGGAATCCGCGACGTAATCGTAAAACTGAAAGCCAAACTGACGAAACTTCCGGTTTTGGAACGTTCTGTTGGACGGAAACAAGACCGAAAGCAGAGTTAAAAATTATTTAACTTTTCCGTTTTCGTCCCGCGCTTCTGTCGTACCGCAACCAATAAATACGTAAGGATTTGTGACGCGTAGTCACGTGCATTAGTCACGTGTAGTTTAATTGTCGTAATGGCGAAAAGTGTACGGAAAACGACGAGGAAACAAATAGATTTGGAATTCTTCATCGAACAAGTTAGAAAATACAGATGTCTGTACGACAAAAAATGTAAATAATTCAAAGATTATTAACAATGAAATTGTTNAGTAATCAATAAAATTTTGAAAAATTTCTGTCTTTATTACATCTAATACAGTATTTCGAAGAAATCAGTCCCCACTGTACTCGGCTATAGATTGGTTCGGTCAAGCTTTTGTTTAAGTAATATTCCGGCTCTTTCATCATGTTTATGTTCCCAATTTCATAATCGCTTAATTATTTAAGTAGAAATAAGTAGAAACCGGTTACTTTTGTACTCGAATATTTGTAGCCTCGAGAAAAAAGTGGAAAAACAAATTTTTATGATAAACGGATACATAAATCGTAAATTTAAGGAA